TCTCTCTTTCTCTCTCTCTCTCTTTGCCTTTTCTTTTTTGGAGAGGATTTTTTTTTTTTTTTTTTTGGTGGCCCGATGGACCACGGATCAGAACAGACACTACACTTGATCTTACTTAGCCAAAAGGCTGAGAAAAGGGAAAATTTTCGTTATGCCCCTCAAAGATGTGGTTATTTGCATTCTGCCCGTCAAACAGCTGACTTCGCCTGCCATGCCCCCCCCCCCCCCCCCCCCCCCCAACCCAGCACCTCCAGCCTTTTTGCTCCGTTAGGCTGGGCCTCTCATCTCTCTCTCTCTCTCTCTCTCTCTCTCTCTCTCTCTCTCTCTCTCTCTTGTTGCGGTTTTTTTTTGAAAGGAACATATTCGTTATGTCCCTCAAAGATGTGGTTATTTGCATTCTGCCCGTCAATCAGCTGGCTTGGACTACCATAGTAGCCATACCGCCCCCCCTCCCCCTCCAACCTTCAATCTTTTCAGCAGGCCCCCCTGTCAGAGGGTAGGGTACTTTACGGCATAGTGGCAACTCGTAAATCTTCGTCCAAGCTTGGAATGAACTGAACAGGTACGGGGGGGCCGGGGGCCAAGTCCCACTTACCCGAATGATCTATTTCTGACCGCAGATTCCGAAGATCAACGACCAGCAATCAAGGATCAGCGGAAGTGGGACTTGTCCCCGGTAGTGGCACTTACTGCAGGCCGAGCCTCCTAGGCAACAAACAAATACTATATAAATTATAAATAACAGGTTCCTAGATAAATTATAAATAAAAAAACAGGTTGAACTTTGACAATTGGATGCATTGGGAGACGGGATAATTTACCAACAATGGCGGCGAAGGATAAGTCCTTCGATGCTCTGCCACCCTTTGCCTCGGTTTGACCTGCGGCCATCTCATCGTCTTCTCCCGGGAGTTCGTACTCTTCGGCCTCCGAGTCCAGAGAGTCCACTCCAGGTTGGTCGCTAGTGACATCTGCCTCATGCCAGTCGTCATCGCCAGCAACGGCCGAGCCATTGGCATGGGGTGCATCTCCATCGGAGCCTTGAAGAAATTCTTCCACCGGCATAATCGTGTGCCCCTGATCTATTGCGCGCTGATGCCACTTGGCAGCTTCTTCTTCATCCTGATCCACCCCTATCCCCAGCCCGTAGCAATGGCCCAGTTTATCCTGTGACTCCACGTGTCCATCCTCCGCCTGGCAGTCGTCGAGTGATCGAATCCAACAGAAGTGGACAGAATTGTTCGCAAGCAGAGAGAAGAGAGCACAGACCAGATCAGCACGGATTTATAACGTACGGGCTCAACTACTTCCGTGTTCACATGAATAGAACGCCCGCCGGTCATTATAGCAGACTGGAGCAACTTTCAGTCCACATGGAGTGCAAATGACCGCCGGGGGTTCTATTAGGGTGAACACCGTAGTAATTTAGTACTAGCCACAGATTTGAACTAGCATTGGAGAGGAGAAAGGGGGGGGAGGAGGGGTCAGAGGGAAAGGACAGGGAAAGGGGAGAAGCATGGGTGGG